GTACTTGGCCCTGGCTGGCCTGCCTTATCAGCAGGGATCTTGGTTTTCCATTAACCAGGGGAAAATGCAGTAAAACCCAGCTTTTTTCATTTTAAGAGGAAAAACCTGGATTTTTTTTTATTTTAAGGAGAAAAAGCCAGATTTTCTCTTTTTTAAGAAGAAACATGCTGGAAACAATAGGTTTTCCCTTTCAGGCTGGCAGAGTTCCAGCCTGCAAGGGGCTGGGGGGAGCGGGAGGAGGGCCATCAGGGAAGGGGAGCCATGCACACACGTGCACATGGCAGCCAGGCAACATGAGAGCAGCACCCCACAGGTGAGTCTGGGAGTGTGTGATTGAGGCCCCCATAGTGAGGGAGGCCACAGGGCCTGGGCAGGGAGTGGGATGGAGCTGTGGTGGCTTCTCTGGGAGGGTGGCAGGGGAGCTGGCTCCATGCCGCTGGTCACACTCCCGGGGAGGGCATGGGAGGCACATGCTCTGCTGATTTGTGTGTGGGGCAGGGGCAAATGAGAGATGGTGGCTGCAGGCTCAGGGCTCCTTGCCTTTCACCAGCAGGCGGGACCCAGTGTGGCAGGGCAGAGTAGGGCAGGGAGGCCCAAGTGCACAGTCACCAGCTGCATCTACCACAGCCCCCCAATGGGGTGTGCTCCAACCATGCTACCCATAGCGGTTGAGGGAGCTGGGCTCTGCACTCTGCTCCAGTACAGCATCTACTGCCTCCCACGAGCAGCACCTGGGGCTCAAGCACTGCTGGCGGGGTGGGGAAAGGGCTGAGGATCCAGATCCCTAGGCCTATAGTCCTGGCAGCTGGGAGCCTCCTCCCACAGGGCTGGGTAGGGTGATGGGCTGTGGGTGGGAAGTGAGGGGCATTGGCAGAGCCAGGGGTCTGTGTGTGGGGAGTGAGGGGCACCAGCAGGATTGTGTTCAACTGATACCTATATATATATAGTGACATTTCATTTTAATCATGTAAAAATGTGGGTTTGGGTTTTTTTAATCAGAATTTGTGATTTTTAAACAGAGAAAACCAGAATCCCTGCTTATCAGAGTCCCTCACAGTTTTTGTTATATGGTGTAAGCAGGGGATCCACATTCTGGTCCTTAATAATTTTAATTAAGTTGAAATATCTGAGTTGACAATATTTATGCTGCAGGTTGCCATTTTTTAAGTTTCTTTTGATTTATTTACTTATTATTCATACATTTTAGGTTTTGGGCAAATCCAATTGTTTAAATAATGAAAATGGAGTAAACAATTTTACTCCATTTTGATATATAACAATATATCAAAATACCCT